TCTGGTTCAGCCTCTCATTGCTCAAACTTAACAGTTGTTGTCCCCCCGCCCCCCCTCTGATCCAGAGGTGGTATTCAGCAGGTTCTGACCAGTTCTGAAGAACCGATAGTGGAAATTTTGAGTAGTTCGGAGAACCGGCAAATCCCACCTCTGACTGGAGATTTTACAGTATCCTTCCCCTGCCACGCCCACCAAGCCACGCCCACAGAACCGGTAGTAAAAAAAATTGAATCCCACCACTGCTTTGATCAAACAGCTAGTTCTGACATTTTCACAACCCAGTCCCAACATTTTCACATCCATAGTGGGGATTTCATTATTCTTCCATTATTGTGCATATAATAACCTAGCTGTTAAATATTCTAAAAGGTTTCTGACCCTGACGAAATCGATCGTGAGAGGAGAATTACACAACAAAATATGGGAAAGCTTAAGAGTTGAAGGAAGAGGGTTGGTCTGGCAGTTTAGGGAGTCTAGGGATGTAGGACTGTCTGTATACAGGTAGTCCTTAAACCATTTGTTTAGCACTGAAAAAAGTGACGTCCACATTTCTGATCACTGTAGCATCCTCATGGTCACATGATCAAAATTCATATGCTCGGCAACTGGCAGGTACTTATGACAGTTGCACTGTCTGGGGATCATCATTTGTTACTGTCCCACCTGGCTTCTGACCAGCAGATGGGGGAAGATTTGATGAATGCCCACATAATTCACTTAACAACTGCAGTGATTTGCTTAATGACTCAGTCAAAAGTTCATAAAGCAGGGCAAAACACCTGCCTTGCTTAGCGATGGAAATTTGGGGCTCAGTTGTGGTTGTAAATTGAAGGTTACCCGCAGGCCTCCATGTGGAGTCTTCCTGTGTCTGTCTTCCAGAACCCCAGCTACGATTCCAGGCACCTTTGATGGATATAGAAGTGTTGGAACACCAAGATGCAGTCTTAGAGTGCCAGGTGCCTTTAGAGGCCATGCCTACAGCATGGTACCTTGAAGACAAGCGCCTGCAACCCAGCCCCAAGTATCTCATGGAGGAGCAGGGCCTACTAAGGCGGCTGACAGTGCGTGATGCCCGGGCTGATGATGACGGCATCTACTTGTGTGAGATGGAAGGCAAAGGCCGCAGCATTGGGGAGCTCTCTGTGCAAGGTGAGGTGTTTTGAAGTCATTGTATCAATTCAAATAAATTATTAGAATACATTATAATATTTTTACAGGCAAAGTCCTTCTGGTACTTCACTTCATACCTGGGCTCAGCAGTTCATTGCACGCCTGTGAAAATTTTAACCTTAGTTCAGCTCTCAGCTCGATTTTGCAGCATATTCACAGACATGACTTGGCTCGAGTAAAAAATATTTATTGCAGATCGGAATAAATAAAAAACAACAGCTAATTGCCCCCAAGAGCCAGAGATGTCAATATCTCTGCTCCTGAAAGTCTAGGCTTTCTCCTCCTGCCCTTCAGGAGTACTGGATATTGAGTGGGTTACTTGGTGGCTTCAGAAGAGATATTTCTTTATTTAATGGATTGCCAGCCTCAGCTTTTACACATTGTACAATAGGATAATCCTTTGTCTGAAGAACCGTCAGAGGACAGGGCTCTGTTTGAAGCTGTCCTTGGATATGAAGGCTTGTGGAGTCTAAACTCAATGTAATGATAAAGAACCCTATCAAAACAGGAGCACTGACGTTAGCAACTGCGCAGAAGATTCAGCAGGCTCACTAAAAAAATTATGTTATTAACATAATACAGTTTTGAATTGCCTGTGGTAAACCAAAACTAGAGCCTTGATCAACTTGTGGAAAAAGAGTCTGATCTTTTCTATCCTAAGCAATTCACAATTGTGTTTCAGGCTTCTGTCATAATATACAGGTATATATATTGCATGAGGGTGGTAGAGGAGTTTTATAATGTGGAATTTTAATACTGTAAGTCTCCTGGAGTCAATGTGTATAAGCTGGGCATCCATATACATTTGTTTAATAAATAAAACTCCAAAATTTAAACTGTTACCAAGTTGGTATTCCCTCTTTAAGAAAACCCAATAGAGTGATATTACATATCTGTTAATATTAATAACATAATTATAGTCCTTCTTTCTAGCTGTTAGTAAATGGTCACCCTAGCATGGTAGTGACTGCAACATGTAATCTTGCTGACAGCTGTCATTTGGGTTTCCATTCTGATAATAATTGAACAAACTCCCTCCTTCAGGTCTCATCGTAAAGCGCTTGCCACGAAAACTAGATGTGATGGAAGGAGAAAATGCAGCCTTCTATGTGGAGACCCGGGAACCTGTGGAAGCACCAAGTTGGGGTCGAAATGGGCAAGAACTGGTTGAGGCACCACATACGCTCATCAGGAGCTTTGGGAAAACACATATTTTGGTACTGGTACATGTGTCTCGACAGGATGCAGGAGTCATCACTTTCATGGCAGGCGACTCACAAACTTCAGCCCAGCTTCGTGTCAAATGTGAGTAGAGAGTGGAAATGGGACTACTGAGGAAGGGAAGGAGAAATGATTATTTGGTTTATATGATGTTTTTCTGCCTAGGGATCATTCAATGTTTCTATTTGCTTTTGACATAAACATTATTCACCAAATGAACCTCTTAACTGAGGCTTGCAATTATTTATCTTATCTTATATTGGATTTAATGATGCCTAATATTTGGGACAAAGGGGGCTTGCCATATTATATTACAGAGATCTACAACAAATTTAGATTCCTATTATGCTCAATTATTTAGACTCGGCAATGATCTAGTTTGATCAAAGCTGTTTTAGAACTGATGTCAAGAAGAATGAAATTACAATACTGTACTATAATACTGCACTGTTCCAGATTGTTAAATCAATGTTTTATCTTTAGTAAACATATTTCCAAAGCAATCTAGTGCTCATGGATGCCGCTGCTTTTGCTACTTCCTAAACTGGCATGGACAAGTGCAAATTATGTCTGGCTGTACATCAGATGCTTTCCCCCCCAATCATCTTACTTATCAGGCAGTCTCTCAAAAGACCTCCACTTGTGATCAGATTCCTGCTGATGACTTGTAGCATCAGCAGCTGCAGCCACACTGTGAAGATATGTAGTGGTTGTCCTAATCCAAGCTTGGAAAGAAAACACTCAAAAGGCCCATTTAAACTGGGACATCAATCTACAGAACATCTAAGCAATGAATGGAAGTATAGTAATAGGGCTCAGTCTTAAGATTACTAAAACATGCTTGAATATTCTAGTTCTAGAAATTATCCACCACCACAATTGTTTTTTCTTCTTCAGACATACGTTGTTTAGAACAATTGGAATTTACATTCTCCTCTCCTAAGACTATAGTGTACAATTGAATTTTGCAAGGTTATATTTCATGTGATTGATTTCACAATCCATCAACCATATCTGAGCTTTACATTTACATTGAAAGTGACCTCAAATTAAAATTTCAGGCATCCTTGGAAAAGCTTGAGAATTTAGAAACATAAAGACCTGTTTTTTTTGTCAGATAGATTTATTTTCTTTCTTTCTTTCTTTCTTTCTTTCTTTCTTTCTTTCTTTCTTTCTTTCTTTCTTTCTTTCTTTCTTTCCTAAGTCTTAGGTTCTTATTTTGTGCTTCCTTCCATCCATCCATCCATCCATCCATCCATCCATCCATCCATCCAGGAGAACTGTTCATCGGTTCTAGGCTCCTGTGTTTCTGATTATCTATTTCAAAAGAAAATTAAATAACTTTTGGACAGCTTCCTCCAATGTAGTGTCCTCCATTTACGTCAAACTATAATTCCCATCATAGCCAGCCAGTGTTGCTGGTTGGGGATGATAGAAGGGGATTTCAGCCTAACACAGCCTGAAGCATTGAACTGAAGGAATGCAGCTCTAGAATCTTAATTGAGTGGGGGAGGGGGGAGCAGGAGGGAAACAAGATGAACTCTTAGCTAGTCAAGTAGACTTCTCCGGTGCACTGAAAGTCAGAGAGCTTGTGAATCTGTTGTTCAGGGACAGTTACATAGATGTTCTATTTATATTTCTGCAAATGTAATGTTCTGGCTGGTGGGGGGCACTCGAACAGCAAAGTATAGAACAGGAAGTTGGATCAACCAATCAGCATGCAGAATGCACACCTCTGCACAATGCACATTTGTGAGATGTTTGTGTTGGTCCATCTTCAGCCGTTTGCAACCTACATTTACCTGACAACCCCTTTGCAGCATAGGTGTGCAGCAATGGCTGTAGGCAGTTGCAGGCAGCTCTAAATCATCCTTTAAGAGTTCTGTATCCGAGTTCAGTATGAATAACTCTTGATCAAGAGTTCTTGTACTTGAAATGCCTTGGGAACAGGTTCATTATGGGTGTTCTAACTCCAGTTGTCTTTATTATCCTTTTTTTTGCTGCAGTCCAACAATCTTTCGACTTCCTGCTTCCTCAGGAGCACTTGGGAAGTTTCCTTTGCTGCTAAAAGTAAAATGTCATTCTGAGAAGCCGCACTCTAAAGGAAGCTGTGCAGCATTTGCATTTCTCTCAATAATTCTCCATCCATTTCCCATGTTCAATAAATATTCTGTTAAAAATGATCTGCATATGTTAGTTTTCCTCCACTTACACATAATTTGCAGTCATTTTATTTTACATGCAAAATCAACTAACTCTGACATTAATTTTGGAATTCATATGCCTCACTGGAGGATGCAATGTACCTAACATTCATCACAAATTGTTCAGTTTCTCAGCCAACAATATGGCAATGACTGCGTGTAAAATTAAATACACTTTCGTGTCCTAGTAAACATATTTATAATGTCACCACAAGCATTTTTATACATTTAATACATCAGGCAACTTAGGAGACATCTCATTTCCTTGTGCTATTTTCTGCTCAGTGCTGAACTATTTGCTATGTCTACGGTTGATTATCACACAAGCTTTACTTCCATCATACACTACTACCGGTATTACCCCTTTTAGAAATCAAACTTCATATATGTGCAAATCAGCCCACACTTTAATCATTTTATCACACACCTCTTTAAATCAACAAACTAATTAAATTTCTTTTTTATTTTCATAACAATAAAACAATTGAAATTAGCCCTTTAATTAAATGAATTCTACTCAATATTAATTATATTTTGTTTTCTTAATGTTGTTGTGAGATTCTGTCACTATAACTTTGCCACTAAAATTTTGCTGGAGAGAACTTGGGGAGGGGGGTGTTTAAAAATGGGACTATGCGTCACTTGTAGTTTGCTTTGCATACTGCGGCACAGAAAGATTATTTTCTGCTTTGAGTCAAGCTCAGTTCCTGGTGACATCATTCTTATGTCCCTGTAGTTTTCTTGACAACTGTAAGGATATGGTACAGTTAGCTGCAAAGACTTAGTTCCGACACATTGCCTGGAATTAGGAATGGGCTGGAAGAAAGCCATGAATCTGAAAGAGGTTCCTGTGAACATGGAAATTAAATGGAAAGATGGTTCACTTTTCAGAGAGACCGTGTCCATCCTGTGGATGGGATTCTGCTCACCCACAGAAACATATTTATAATTTGTGGACCCTCCTAAGGCCAACTTTATCCCTAGATGCCAAGCTTAAGTTAACAAACTATGGTTAGTTACTTGTTTGGGGCAGAAATAGTCCAGTCACAGATATATTTCATAGAACAAATCTATATTTGATTGATTGTAATAAACTGCACTTGGCAGATATTTCAGAAGTTTTAATTACTTCACAAGGTCCATGGCGATTATTAGGTGGTTATTGCAGGAAGAAGATAATATCAAGGATTTCTTTTCTCTAGGTGCCAAAAGGATTCCACCAAGTGCACCTGTGGAAGTAAAGATGTGCACCACACGTAGCAATGCCACCCTTCTCACGTGGTGCCCACCACTAGATCTGCATCGTAGCCCACCAAGCAGCTACATCCTTGAGCGGCAGACTGTAGGAGAGGCTGAGTGGGTGCCTTGTCTAACCACTGATGTCGCTAGCATGGTTGAAGTTCCGGGGGATGGTGTGCCCCAGGAGGCTGACTACTGCTTCCGTGTATGCTCTGCCAATAAGTATGGGTGCAGTGAGCATGTGGAATTCCCAGGGTCCGTGCATCTTGGTAAGCCTCCCTGCTCCTAAGAGGTGGGGCTCCATCTTTGCATAAGAATGGGCGTTTTAAGCATTTCTCTGATTTTGGTTGCTTTGTGACTGGCAAGTTTCTCAGGCACTGACTAGTCAATTGCTGCTTCCTCCTCCCACTGCATAAGTGCACTAGTCTGCTTTTTCCCAGCTGGCTGTTCTTCATTTGCGCCCTTTTTACACATTCAGATTGCTGAATACCTTTACCTGTTTTTCCTTTTGGAGTAATAATTTATTCTGTATGCTTGGCTTTGCAGATTGTGCTAGTACCCGCTATTGAATCTGCAATCAGTGGGAACTGTACAGCTGCTAATTTTTAAAGCCTAGATTTGCAAATCCAAATGACTAGTCATCATAACACATTTATCTCAAACTATGAATTTAAGACTGAGAAATATGACATTGATGGAGATATACTAGATCTGTTTAAGCTCCACTACAGGATGACTTAGTTTTGTTGAGAGCAGCTGTAATCACAAAATCTTGCAAGTTGCAAGATTTGATAATAGATCTTGCATATCACCATTAATTCTCTACATGAATATATTCAGCTTAGGATGGTTATAGCTTCAGCCTGCATGTGGTTTCTTGCATTGGCTCTTTTTAAATTACTTGTAGTGAGTATAAAGGAAGGCCTTGAAAGATGTTCCATAAGAGAGAAGTTCCTTATGGTAGCTGCCAGGTAGAATCATAGAATAACAGAGTTGGAAGGGACCTTGGAGGGTCATCTAGTCCAATCCTCTGCTTGAGTAGGAGAGTCTATTCCAAATATTAGCCTCTACCTAGGATTGAACTCACAGCCTCCCTATTGTGAGGCCAGAGCTCCACCTCTAGGCCACCGGAGCTAAACAAGACTTGAGTCTAAGTCAAGAAAGTGGCTACTGAAAACGGTTCAAGCAGACTGACAACCCCACCCCCTCCTGTGAAGATAAAAGAGGAAAGGAGGGAAGCATAGTCAAACTTGCAAGTTTTTGTTACTGTGGCTGTTCTAATAAAAGTAGCCCTAGGTCTACATGGTTTCTTGGTCTGTTCCTTGGTTCTTTAGTCTGTTCCTTAGCATGGTCTACCTTGCAGGGTTGATACTACTCTCTCAACCTTTGATTGTTCTTACAGTGCCCAGAGCCCATATAAAGGAGGGACTGCAAGATGTGACGGTTTGTATCAGTGAAGATGCCACTTTTTCAGTGAAGCTTTCAGCTCCCCTGTCTGGTTGTTGGTTCCTCAGTGGGAAGAGGTTGGCAAAGGAAGAGGAAGACCAGCAGTACCATATCATACACAATGGCGTGAGCCATACATTGCAGGTCAAAAATGTGCAATTAGCTGCCAATGGGTCCGAAGTGCGATTTGAAACCAATGGTGTGAAAGAATCAGCTGTGTTATATGTGCAAGGTGAGTTCTTAGCTGGTCCCAAGAACAGAATAGTAATTAGAAACTCAGAAACAATTATATTTATTTATTTATTAAATATATATGTCACCCATCTCACTATTGAAACTACATGCTAGTACAGGGGTGTCAAACTCAAGGCCTGCGGGCTGGATCTGGACCACGATGTGGTTGGATCTGGCCCGTGGAGCCATCCTGGTCTATCCAGTGCAAAAAAAAGATCAGGCCAGCGTAGCTTTGGCCCGGTCTACCCAACGTGAAGAGGAAACATGCCAGCAATTTGGAGAGTGGCATCAAGCTGACCCACCCAGTTGAGCACACCCACCCACTCAGTCAGCCATGCCCGGCCGGGCCTCCGAGGTCAACCACAGCCTGTTGCGGCCCTAAATGAAATTGAGTTTGACACCCCTGTGCTAGTACCTACATTCTAGGAACAGAAAGAGGACAGGATTATGGCTGTAATATAAGAAGCAGAGGTTGGCAGATTCCTCTGTTTTCCTGTTTTGCAGGACTAAAAAATTAATACAGATAGGATGCTTGGATATAAAAGTCACTTTCCCCTAGTAGCAATAGCACTTAGACTTCTATTCCACTTTATAGAGCTTTATAGCTCTCTCTAAGTGGTATATTGTACCCAGCAATCTGGGTCTTCACTTTACTGACCTTGGAAGGATGGAAGGCAGAGTCAATCTTGATGTCAGGATTCCGGCAGTTACCCCAATTAAATCATGAGTCTTGAGCCAAACTTCCAAAACTTCAAAAGGATTTATTGGGAGTTAAAATGTCCACCACTGCCTGGGTGTAGCTGACTCTGAGACACATAATTCATTGTCACCCTTGACCCTGGTTTTCCCCCACCCCCTGGGTGTATCATAATTCATATTCTCCAATGGGACACATCTATAGTCAAAGTCATCAATCATGTTCTTCAGTTAGAATTTTGCACAGCAGAAACTTCAGTCACCTAGTTACTATCTTTGAAAACTATTTATGGAATGCACTTTCGGTTTCCAAGCTCCACATTGCTCCCCGCTCCCTTTCTGTTGGCAACTCTAAAAAGATCATTTTATGAGTTGACACTTGTGCCATTCAGGATCAAACTCCTGGCTGGGGGCAGAGTTTGCTCACAAAACAGTGTACTGCATTCTAACCATTGCACAACCACTGCTCATTTTATGGCCACTCTAATTAGAAGTAGAACCCACCACTGTGATTTTCAAACTAAACAAACAAAAGTAATCATGAGTTCCAATAGTGTAGTTCTATGTGAAGTTTGACTTGCTGTGCTGTGCCATGTTTTTCCCATGACTTGCTTGCAACTATGGTGCATTTGACTGCAAAGGCTATGTGAGAAACTCAGCACTCACATTTACTGCACATTTGCCTTTTTTGAATGACAACCAGTGCATAGTTTCAGGTATATATGTAAGAGTTTCCTAGGTGGCTTGGAATGGATACAAAATGGTCCATTGCTGTTATGATCACCACAATAGCCCAAGATGAAATGAATGTTGTGATGCATAGATTTTACTTTCAAAGTTCTTGCTTTCAGCCCCACGGGTACATATTACTCCAGTGCCTGAGGCCAGGAGACTCCGAACCCTTCTTCCTGGGATGCCTCTGCTTCTGGAATGTGAGCTTTCCATGCCTGATGTCCCTGTCTGCTGGCTCAAAGATGGGAATCCTATAGCTTTGGATAATGGCGCTTGTGTCCAGTCAGAAGGCTACATTCATAAGCTGCTCATTCCCTCTGTCTGCTCTTTGGATTCTGGGACGTACATATGTGATGCCAGAGATGATGCCATTAGCTTCACTGTGGCTGTGGAAGGTAAGTGGAAAGAAAAAAAACATCTTGATTTAAGCAGGGAGGTTTATAGTGTAAAGGTGCATGTCCTTTTACAGGGTTTAGTGCCAAAGATAAGCTACTTGAAGCTCCATAAGCTTTTGAATATAGCTGATTTCAAAGAAAAGACAAGGTCCAGTTGCCTCCTGAAAAAGCACCTTTGCGATAGCTGATACCACATAAAATAATACCCATAGTTTCCTGCTATTCGACCATTAGCAGGGTTTAGCCTGTAATCATATCCTTTCTTTCCAAATCTGGAAATTCAGTAATGATTTCAAACTTGGAAGCATTTAGTCCCCTCATCATATCTCCACCTATCTCCACAGAACCTCCTGTGAAGGTTGTTCACTCCAATTCCAAAGAGGCTCACAACTACAAAGTTGCGGATCGTGTGGTGCTGTCCTGTGAGTTATCCCACCCTGATGTCACTGTGCATTGGTACAAGGATGGAGAAACTGTGAAAGAAAGCCAGGACCTCCTGATGGAGAATGTGGGACCTCACCATCACTTGATCATTCCCTCAGCCAGAGTGCAGGATACTGGGGAATTTGTATGTGACGTTGGTGGAGAATCTGTCTTTTTCAACATTACTGTTGCAGGTCAGTGGCCTCTCCAGATGACAGATCACTGTCTAATTTTCTCCTAATTGTACAATTGTTTAAAAGTTATACAAAAGAATTCTAGAAAAGTGGTTACTGCTCTGTCCAAATTTGGTTATTTGTAAGCTTGTGATACTTCAAAACTAAGTATTTCTCAAGTATTTCTATGGTAGGTAAAGTGCATTTTAACAAAGGCATGGAAATAGAAAATATTTGCTGTATGTTTTGACTTCAAGTTTCTGATGAAAAATTTGCCTACAAAATCTATAGAAAAAATGAAATAACTTGCTTTTGCAATGCTGTAAACAAGGAGTGATTTCTAAAGTCAGAAGAATTTTGTGCCTCTAGATATTAGCAATCTGGAGTCTGGTGCCCACTTTAAAATTTTACAAATCTGAAAAATTGAGCTGTTTTTGAAATGGCCTAATGTGATTTGAGGGGACACGGTGGCTCAGTGGCTACGATGCTGAGCTTGTAGATCAGAAAGGTCGGCAGTTCGGTGGTTCAAATTCCTAGCACCGCGTAATGGAGTGAGCTCCTTTTACTTGTCCCAGTTTCTGCCAACCTAGCAGTTCGAAAGCATGTAAAAATGCAAGTAGAAAAATAGGGGCCACTTTGCTGGGAAGGTAACAGTGTTCTGTGCACCTTCGGTGTTTAGTCATGCCGGCCACATGACCACGGAGACGTCTTTGGCTTTGAAACAGAGATGAGCACATATGTGCCAGGGGAACCTTTACCTTTACCTTTAATGTGATTTCATTGCAAATGTCAGATTTGAAAGGATCTTTCTCTACCTCTCCTTTCTAATGGAAATGATGTCTCTTTACCAGTGGGTGGGGGGGAGGGAAAAATAGAAACCTCATCATCCACATTGTTGTTCCAAATGCTTAGCATGAAGCTCAGGTGAAGCAGCTACAGCAAATACCTGAAAGTCTTCCTATAAAGACTGGTTACTTTGTTCCCTTCAGGTGGAAGCAGATATTGTACAACCTCTTAATCAAAGACAAAAACTCCTGCAGGCAAAACCAAGGGCAAGTCAGGACCAAGTGCTCTCTGGAGTGTATTTTTTTTTAAAAAAAGCATTTGATGAACTTCATCAAGGGGGCAGAGAGCCTTTCCTAGGCCCTCTGATTCCATTTCTTTTTATGATGTGGTACAAGAGCCAGGGGATATAATTTGGAACCAGTGGATATAAAAGCCTGAGGTTAATTTACTACAAAAGTGTTCTCTTCCTTTTGGAAAGTTTTTCTTTGGTCTTTCTCTGCTTTCCTCACCATAGCCATACTCGAGCATTGACAGCATTCTTTTACACAGGGGTGGGATTCAAAATTTTTAACAACCGGTTCTGTGGGCATGGCTTAGGTGGTAGGCATGGCTTGGTGATCATGTGACTGGGTGGACATGGCTTGGTGGTCATGTTATTGGCTGAGCGTGGTCAACTCAATATCACTCACATCGAGGCACGTATCTCCTCACCTGGCCTCTCACGACTGTGGGGATGCTGCAACAGTCATAAGTGTGAAAAATGGTCATAAGTCACTTTTTTCAGTGCCCTTGTAACTTTGAATGGTCACTCCACACAAGCAAAGTACCAGCAAAAGAGGGGGAAAAAAACTGCAGAGACGTTCCTGAGACAGGAAGTCTAGTCCTGCCAAGAAGGTAGTAAGGGTTAACGGAGAGGCAGTTTCTGTAAGCAATACCAGAATGTTTCCTTCCTGCCTTCCTTACAGGATTAGGCCAGTAATTTCTTCTAACAACCGGTTCTCTGAACTGCTTAGAATGTTAACAACCGGTTCTAGCGAATAGGTGTGAACCTGTAGAATCTCACCCCTGCTTTTACGGCCCTATTCTGATGAGGCTGACTTCAATTTGCCTCCAGCCTTTGAGTGAGGATACTCACTCCCTGCTCTTACTAAGGTTAGTGTTAACAATGAATGTCTCCCCTTGTTGTTTTGGAATAGTCTGATAGAACAGAAGCAGCTTAAGGATGCAATGCAAATAGGTCCTTAGCAAATTTCCTCTTGTGCAGATAAAGTGGTGTGGTCAGAAGGTACCGTCAGTGGTGTATTAACCATTAAGCAGACTAAGCACACGCTAAGGGCACCAGGCCCAAAGGGCTATCACAAAGTTGAGAATATGGCTTCGTTTGTACAATAAGTACAAAAGAGGGGGGGCACCAAGATTTGTCAAGGCTTAGGGTACTAGTGAGCCTCAATCTGCCACTGTGTACTGTAATCTTCCCAGCACATTTCTTTGCTCCACAGAAACTCCTGTCCACATTGTCCACTCCAGCCCTGAGGAAGCCCACACCTACCTGGTCTCAGACCGTGTGGTGCTGGCCTGTGAGCTATCCCGTCCTAACATCCCTGTGTGCTGGTACAAGGACGGGGAAAAGGTGGAGGAAAGCCAGGACCTCCTGCTGGAGAACGAGGGTCCACACTGCCGGTTGATCCTTGTCTCTGCACACATTCAGGATACAGGAGAGTTTGTGTGTGATGCAGGTGGTGACTCTGCCTTCTTCAACATCACTGTCACAGGTTAGAAATAGGCCTTCTAAGCATACCTAATTTACGTAGAATTACTTTTTTATTTTTCAACTTTCTTCAGTTGGACTCAAGATGCAGGACATGATGCTCCTAAACCAGCCTTTCCCAACCTGCCGATGAATTAGGCCTGCAGTTTCCACAAAACTCAGAATTTAACAGACTGGGAAAAGCTGATAAAGCTGTTCTAAGAAATCACCCTACCCTCCACTGGGCAGGCAGCCCAGTTGTGTTTTGCTTTGATACAGAGAAAATTTTGGTTGTTTATTTGCCTCTCACGGGAGAGGTGGGATCTACCCTTGTTTACTTCTAACACCGCTATTTCTGGGTTTCTGATACTTGGAGGCACTTGTGATTTGTTATGCCTCAAAAAGTTGGTTTTTGCTCAATAGAATTGTGGTGACCTCAAGCACAGTGATGAGCTGTGATAAATACTATCAAAGTTCATTTCTGTGCTTGAGTCCCCATAATTCTGGGTGTTTATCCCCTTATTGGTAGGAAGCTCCAGAAGGAATCATACAAGCAGTCCCAGGAAATCTCTGGAAGTAGCTGATTAGGTTTGTCTCTTTCACACAGTGCTATAAAGATGGTTTGGTCCATACTAGAGAACTCTTCTAATTAATGATCCTCGTGCTGTGAAAAAAATTGGTCTAGTGATTAAGGCAAGAGTCTTTAAACTCGGCAAGTTTAAGTCTTGTGGACTTCAACTCTCAGAATTCCTGAGCTAACATGACTGGAGGAGGAATTCTGGGAGTTGAAGTCCACAAGTCTTAAAGCTGTCAAGTTTGAAGACCCCTGGATTAAGGCATCAGGCTAGAAACCAGGAGGCTGTGAGTTCTAATCTTGCCTTAAATATGAAAGCAGGTTGGGTGACTGGTCCGGTCACTTTCTCTCAGCCCAACCCACCTCACAGGGTTATTGTTGTAGGGAAAACAGGAGGAGGAAGGAGTATCATATACAGTGTGTTCCCTGCCTTGAGCTATTTAAAAAGGACAATAATGGTGGGATCAAAATAAATAAAACATTGGAATCTGTATTATGCTGAGATATATTTGTGTTTTTAGTTTATCTAGTGCAGTGATGGTAAACTTTTTGGGCTTGATATGTCAAAAATTCAGAAAATGTCTGCATTGACTCTCCTGGTGAGTCTTACACATACCACACCACAGACAGACAGTCAAAGGAGGCCTTTCCAGACTTTCTCTCATCTGTTCTCCTCTGGATTCTTGTCCCCAAGACCCTCTGAACATGGAAAAAGGCCCTGATCTCACGGGAGCTCTGGAGCTTTTGAAAATCAAGTGAGAATGCTCACCTGATTTTCAGAGACCTCAGCCTCAGAGGCTGTGTGAGCAACTTTTCTCCTGTGACTTTCAGTGGGGCTGGAGGCCTGGCATGTCACCCAAAATGACATGGTGTACCATAGGTTTGCCATCACCTCTCTAATGCAATATCTCTTTACCAAATTTGCATCTCTTCATAGACCTTCATATAGCCCCAACTAAAGATATCAGGGTTTAAAACGGAAGTCTGACAGACAAAATAGGTTTACTGCTACTGAATTAGAATCTTTTCCTCACATTTGGTGTCCTTCCTATTCCAGAGCCACCTGTACAGGTGGTGTGCTCCAATGCAGATGAGGCTCACACCTACTGGGCTTTAGAACAAGTAACTTTGTCCTGTGAGCTGTCCCGCCCTAATGCTCTCGTGCAGTGGTACAAGGATGGGAAAGAAGTAGAAGAAACGGAGGGTCTGCGGCTGGAGAGTGAAGGGCCTCATCACCGCCTGATCATTGCCTCAGCCCAGGTGAAAGACACAGGAGAATTTGTATGCGATCTGGGAGGCGATTCTGTCTTTTTCACTGTAACTGTTTCAGGTTAGTGTGATTTGTCTTTTTTCGTCCCCCTCACTTGGGGATTTAAATTATATTTTTCTCCACAAAGCCACAGCAGATGATTACTCCTGGCTAAGCCTGGATAACTCAAGTTGGGTTAGACATAGTTCAGATTTGGATGGTAAACCACAGGGAAATGGAATGGAATGGAATGGAATGGAATGGAATAGAATAGAATAGAATAGAATAGAATAGAATAGAATAGAATAGAATAGAATAGAATAGAATAGAATAGAATAGAATAGAACTCTTTATTGGCCAAGTGTGGTTGGACACACAAGGAATTTGTCTTGGTGCAAATGCTCTCAGTATACATAAAAGAAAAGATACATTGCCAAGAGTCAAGAATCATAAGGTACAACACTTAATAATAGTCGTAGGGTACAATAAGCAATCAAATCATACTAGGAAACAGTCAATATAAATCGTAAGGATACAAACGACAAAGTTACAATCATATACTCACAAGTGGGAGGGGATGGATGATAAGAAGTGATGAAAAGATTAATAGTAATAGTGATAAATAAGTAATAAAATAGTAATAAATCCCAGGGTTTACTGAGGAGATGCATAAACAACCCAGGTGAAGGGATTAATAAACCATTTCCACTCTGTTGCTAAGAAAAGAATGTAGGTGTGTCATGTGATCCACAAGATTTAAGTTTGATTTAAGGGAGCCTTTACCTTAAAAGAAAAAAGAATCTGTGGTGCATGCCACTTTAATTCAAGGCATCTGATGCTACAGAAGGTTTCAGCCATCTTCCTCTTTGTCCTTTTTCCCATTTAATGGACATGGCTGAGCAGATTACAGCAGGGGTCATCGTCTTTATCTTTCTCCTTTGAAATTGGTCTCAGTTCTTTCTTACACTTCCTATGCTTGCTTGTGGCTGAATCACGACAGATACTTTTCTGCACACTTTAGAATGATGCGTTGGGTTCTTGATGTTCCCTGAGCTTGGTTTTTACCAGGTTCAGTAACAAATGGTCAAATCAACTGTTATTGGACACAGAGAGATAAACCTCATCTACATGCCATTTATTGATACAACCAAAAGTCATGGAAAGAAACAACCAGCTCGGAACACATCCTCCCCAGCACTGGACACCCAGATAATCAGGAAACAGTAGTAGATAAACAATTGGGAACAAAGAACATTCTCTTCAAGGAACAATCAAATTAGAAACCATCCCCCAACAGCCAAGACTGGCAGGGCAAGGAATATATAAACAGTATGCAAACCCCACTCTCCCTCACACAGATGATGCTACTTAGACTGATTATAGGATATCTGCAGGAAAACAACCAAGCTCGGAGTCTATCATGAATCCAGCAGTTCAACCATGAGCTGCACTGATTCTCTATTATAGCATTGGAACTTCGATTTGTTAAAAGAGTTGGCTGGACTGTTATCTCATGAAGGTTGGTTTTGTAGTGATAATTCTGCAGTTTCCCTGGATTCATGGCTATGATTTAGGGTAATCTTTGCTGTGTCAAGTGGGACATTTGGGACTTTAGTTGCAGACATACAGTACATGGAGCAGGGGAACATTATGTCAGTAACTCTTATCCTCATCATGGGTCAGAACTACTACTAGTGCTCTTCATACGGCTGTTTCTGAAAACCACATAGAAGCTGTACAGTGAGTGGTCCAAAATGCAGCAATCTGTTTTTGGCTCATGGATCTCAATACTAGCATACTCTGAAACAATATTAGCATACTCTGTGACCTGGCCTCCTGTTGCCTTTTGAGTGCAACTCCAAGGGCTTATTTTGGTCTTAAAACCTTTTATGATTTAACACCAAGCTACCTGACCTCTCCAGCCTATTTCAATCCACCCACAAAACAAACTAAATACAAAATAACTTTCAAAGCAGTTTGTTGGCAATTTTGCACAATTGACAAAGAGCTAAACTGCCTGACACATAAAAATTACATTGTCATAGGGCTCAGCTACAGTGAGATACTCTGCTTGCTGCATTTATTCCCCATTTGTTTGATAGTTTTGTCATACTAAAAACAATCATTCAAAAGTAACTTTTGGAGGGATCCAGATTTGATCTTGACTTTTCGAAGTTTTTCTAATTAGATCTGTGCAAAAATGTCAGTTCAACTTTTTATCCAATTGGGCTTGATTATAGGACTACCAAATCTCAAAATGTTAAAATAAAGGTTGGATTTGCTTATTAATTTGCATATTTCATTTTGCTCCAAATATCTTCAGTGCCCTGCATTCATCATTGCTCCATCTCTCAATTTTATATCTACTTTTCTGCTCTTTTCTAGTTACTCTGAACCAGAACAACAAGCTTTGCATGACACTTAGGCCAGGTGAAACAAAGATAGTAATTTTTGATTCTGTTGTAGGAACTTGGCCCTTATCTTAATATGTTGTGTAAATCAGATTCATTTATTTGTACGTAATGTATTGTGACAGTGCTGCAATCGTAATTTAAAAGTCCTGGTTAAGGGTTAAGCATACTATGGGAACCCATTAAACATAGCTTGTTCAATTTTATTCAGAATGTATGCCTAATTGTGTATAAACTAATTATAGTTTATTAAACAAATTGTAAATCATGATTTACCTGCATATAGGAACCAGAGTAGCATGTCCTATATTGGATTTCAAACACATTGAGGCAGGCACCTCTTCTTTTGTACTTTATAAAAAGCCAAACATGTAGATAGACAAATAACCTTAATTTGCAGCAAAACACTTCCATTTCAGTTCCAGTTATGTGTGCGCATATAAGTAAGTTTCAGGGCAGGGGAGAACATGTTTAATAATCCCATTTCTACCAATCCTCATTCCTAGAATGTATTCTCTTGCCACAGACCATCCTGTGAGGATTGTACACTCCAATGACGAAGAGAACCATGCCTACCAGGTTGCAGAACGCGTAGAGCTGTCCTGCGAACTTTCTCGTCCTGATGCCCCCGTACATTGGTACAAGGATGGAGAAGAGGTGGAAGAAAGTGAGAGGCTGCTACTGGAGAGTAAGGGCCCTCACCATCGGCTGGTCATTCCTTCAGCTCAAGTAGAAGATTCTGGGGAATTTGTGTGTGATGCAGGTGGCGATTCGGCATTCTTCAACATCACCGTCACAGGCAAGAGAATTATTTTATCTTACTAGGCAAAAGTCATCTTCATATACTTTCATTTCTTCCCCTGCCAAGTGTCTTCTGGGGGAATTGGATGACAGCTCTTGGAATTTTCATATCACAGAGACAAAGTTTGTGGCTGGTTGGGAGTTATGGAAATTAAAGTCTAGTACATTTAGAGTGCTCTGGGTGATGTGAGCTGCTGCACACTTGAGTGATTTTAAAGGCTCCATGGGTGTATTTTGGTCTGATGGAGATCTGAATTGGTCCCTGGCCCACTTAGACTGTGCAATTTTTCTGATGAATGATTAAGCAGAAGCACATAGGGACTTTGTGAATTGAGCACAGAGCAATTGTGCTTTCCATGTTTAGTTCTTAGCTTCAGATAATTGGTGGTCACTCAGAGATATAATGACTACAAACATAGGACTTGCACAGTAAGCTACAGTAAGCTATTCTGCGTCATAAGACAGCCTATCTTCCACTGGTTATCTAATCCTTCCACAAGACTGTTTATGTTAGGTGCCCTGCCGTCACAACACCCCTTGTCAATGAACATCACAAACGGATTATACCTTGTGAAAGGCAATTCTCCCCTTTGTTTTCTTAAGCCTCCTGCTTTCTAATGGTTTGAGAGGATGATCTTCCATTTTCATGTTATGAGAAGGGGTGAATATTTTCCTCTTATATTTTCCTTTTTGCTTCACACAAAATAACTTTCAGAACACAAACGTTGCCCTGATGCACCAATTCCTCTTTCCTCCTGGGTTTTGGTAAGTTATAAAGGATTGCAAGCAGGTTCCCTCCAGGTGTTTTGGACTATTATTCCCATGAACCTTTTATCAATATGGCCACAGGGGTCAGGAATTGTGGGGAAAAAAAAACACCTGGAGGGCACTGGATAGTCTTCCACCAAGTCATTTTCTCTAGACCTTGAGTCTATAGGTCCAAAACTGTTCTGAAACTCCTTCTGGTTTCTCTGTCTCCCTTGCTGCTGCAGAACCAGTTGTGAAAATCATGCAGTCCAATGCAGAGGCCATTCATGCTTATCAGACCTCAGACCGTGTGGTGCTGACCTGTGAGCTGTCTTGCCCCAACGCCCCTGTCCAATGGTACAAAGATGGGGAGGAATTAGAAGAAGGTAAAGACTTGCTGTTTGAGAGTGAAGGTCCCCACCGACGACTCATCCTTCCCTCGGCACAATTTCAAGACACTGGCGAGTTTGTATGTGATGCAGGCGGTGACTCTGCCTTCTTCAGTGTTACAGTTGCAGGTCAGTAATATGCCACAAGTTGCCCTTTAGGCCAGGGGTCCCCAACCTTGTCAACTTTAAGACTTGTGGAGTTCAACTCCCAGAATTCAGAAGCAAAGCTGGCTGAGGAATTTTGGGAGTTGAAGACTACAAGTCTTAAAGTTGACAAGGTTGGGGACTCCTAATCTAAATTCTGATCCCATGATCACAGGGACGTTTGCAAAGGTTGTAACTCAAAATATATTTGCTTTGAGTTACACTGGAAGCTTGGTTCTAGTTTACCATTCAGAGGAAACAATTCCAAGCTAAATACAGCTAGTCCTCAACTTTTGATCTCAATTGAGACCTGAATTTCTATTGTTAAGCAAGGCAGTTGTTAGAGTCACACCAGTTTATCTTTTTTCCCTCATGGTTGTTAAACGAATCCCTTACAGTTTTTAAGTTAATAACACAGTTGTTGAATGAATCTGATTTCCCCCCATTCATTTTGCTTGTTGGGAGCTGGAGGAGAAGATTACAAATTCCACTGATCACATGACCCTGGGAACAATGCAACTCTCATAAATACATGCCAGTCTCCAAGCGCCCAAATACGGGTCATGAGGATGCTGCAATGGTCATAAATGTGAAAAATGATCATGTCACTTTTTTCAGTGCCTTTGTAACTTCAAACCACCAGTAAAATGCATGGTTGTAAGTCGAGGCCTACCTGTACCTGTATTTATCTGCACATCTTTTTTGGTTTTTTTGAGGGGATGGGAGGAGAGGGAGAATATAGGTAGTCCTCGCCTTACAGCCACAATTGAACCAAAATTTCTGGTAAGTGAGACATCTGTGAAGTGAGTTTTGCCCCATTTTACAACCTCTCTGCCCATGGTTGTTAAGTAAGTCCCTGCAGTTTGATAAGTTAGTAACCAGGTTGTTAAGTGAATCTGGATTCTCCCTCGACTTTGTTGGAAGGTAGCAAATGATGATCACATGACCCCAGGACTCTGCAACTGTCATAAATACATGCCAGTTACCAAGCATCTAAATTGGGGGTTTTCAAACTTGACAGCTTTAAGACTTGTGGACTTCAACTCCCAGAATTCCTCCTCCAGTCATGTTAGCTCAGGAATTCTGGGAGTTGAAGTCCACAAATCTTAAACTTGCCAAGTTTGAAGACTCCTGATCTAAAATCTGATCACATGATCCTAGGGACGTTTCCAAAGGTTGTAACTTTGAAGAACAGTCATAAGTCGCATTTTTCAGTGCTTTTGTAAATTTGAACCAGAGGTGGTACACAGCAGGTTCTGACCAGTTCTGGAGAATGGTAGCGGAAAAGTTGAGTAGTTCGGAGAACCAGCAAATCCCACCTCTGACTGGAGATTTTACAGCATCCTTCCCCTGCCACGCCCACCAAGCCACGCCCACAGAACTGATAGTAAATTTTTTTGAATCCCACCACTGCTAAAGGAACTGTGGTAAGTCAACGACTACCTGTAATCAACCCTTCTCATCTGCTAAAGATATATATGAGAAGTGCTGCAGCAAGGATAAAAGGGATAGATTAGGATTTCTATTAATTATGCCTCAAAAGGAGGGGAGAGCAACAGGAACAGAAAAGGCCTGGGGTATGAACAGGGGGAATTAAAGAGTCCAAAGAGAGGTTCTGAGGCTAGAGAGACAGTTTTTTACACAACCCCACTAAGAATCCTGAAGTGATGTTTTGAGGTTTGCATTTCTCAGTGCCAAATAACACCTCCCCTCCCCTCACTTCCTTCTCTCCCATTTCTCCCTTACCTCATACTGCCTGACACCATACCATTTCCTTGTGCTATGAAGTCTTGTTCTCGGGAATACATATTTAAAAAGCAACTATTTTTAAATGCAGAACCCGTTAGCTGTAACTAAATAGTCTTAGTAAGGATAGCAATTCTATCTTGGGAAGCCGTGCATGAACAATTGCTATATTCTCTGTTCCCTCTAAAGATGACTCACTATCTTTGAACAGTGCTGAAAGGTAGGAATTCAACAGGGGGAAGCTGTTACAGAGCTGCTAACAACAACAACAACAACAACAAAATATTAGTCTGTTGTTGCCTTAGCTGGTCCAGTGAATAAGGGAGATGACCTTGGTGGAGATACAAGTATGCAGGAATTATTATGTAGACAAAAGGGGCTGAAATGTTTTTTTTAAAGTCCGGAGTAACCATATCATAATTGCTAGTAGTTCAAACAAAGACCTTCCTAATTCACTGAACTACAGGAAGAAGGAGGTGATACAGCACAATCAGACTTGCAAGATTCTGTTATTATAAGCAATCACAATGAAAGCACTTTTAGTCTTTATGGGGAATTCATTTTCTGGCCTGGTTCTCCTTTGTGGGGCTGACAGCTGGGTACATTGCATAGTTTCAACTTCCACTGAGACTGAGGATCACATTTATAGCCTCCTGTATTTTGCCATGCTCCAGGTGCCTTACATGACGGTTTCCCCTGATGTTTTTTCTATAGCAACAACCCAGTGAGGTAGGTGAAGTAAAACAAACAGACTAACCCAGAGGTCTCCAACCTTGTCAACTTTAAGACTTGTGGACTTCAATTCCCAGAATTCAGAAGCAAAGCTGGCTGAGGAATTCTGGGAGTTGAAGTCCGCAAGTCTTAAAAGTTGACGAGGTTGGAGACCCCTGCTTCAGGCCCACTGCGATACATTGAATATATCTGCTTTGATTTACACTGGAAGCTTGATTCTAATTTGCCATTCAGAGGAAACAATTCCAAGCTAAATACAGCTAGTCCTCAGCTTATGACCACAATTGAGACCAGAATTTCCATTGTTAGGCAAGGCAGAATTTCCCTGGACAAACCTAAAGTCATCCAGAGAATTCGGTGGCTGAGGGGAGATCTGAATCTGTATTTCCTCCATTCAGACCTTAAAAACAGCATGAGGCTGTCAAGAAAAGAAACTTTGTAGTAATTATCAGGGTAGCACCGGCACTCTTGGTTCCCCCCAGGACTCCTCGTTCCCTTGCAACTTGTTTAGATCAGGGGTCCCCAACATGGCCCATTACCAGCCTGTGGCCTATTCGGAACTCGGCTGTATGAATGGTGTGCTGGCCCTCATGCACGCACATGCACGCAGCTCAACTTGCATGAGTGGTGGGCCAGCGCACATAAAATGCGCGTACAGCTGAACTTGCACAAATTGAGCTGCATACACATGTGCATGTGCAGGCCCATTGCACGTGCAAGTTGAGCTGGGTGCATGTGTGTGACGGCCTGCTGCTTGTGCGGCCCAGTTACCTCCCTCCCCTCACTGGGCCACCAAGCGCAAAGATTGGAGACCACTGGTTTAGATGATCTCTGCTTTTTACCTTTTCTGAACCCATTTGGGGGATTAAAGGGTAAAGGTAAAGGAGTCGCTGTGGATTTTATTCCCCTAGTTGCTGACTTTAGGGGGCAGTGCTCATCTCCCTTTCAAGGCCATTGAGCCAGTGCTATCCAAAGACATTTCCATGGTCATGTGGCCAGCATGACATCACAAAGGCTGTTATTTTCCCACCAAGGTGGCACCTATTTATCTACTAGTATTTGCATGCTTTAGAACTGCTAGATTGGCAGCAGCTGGAGCAAGGACAGGAGCTCATCCCATCCCATGGTGCTTAGGTCTTGAACCCAGGCTACACTTTCCAGCTGACAAGCCCAGCATCTTAATCAACGAGCTGCCATGCCACCCCATTCTTTGGAATGCAAAGTATATACAGTATTTGTTCTGATCCGGCTCCCAACACAATAAACCTTCTGTAGTTAAATCAATTATTCCTTTATTAGGAGCACCAGCAGCCCTGGAAAAAAGTCTCCCTCCCTCCCTCCCTCCCTCCCCTTCTCCCTATCCCCCCCCGCCTCTCAATAAGTTAACAAGTCTGTCTGGCAGGGAGACTAATAGTTGCCTGCCACACCTATTCATCTCTGCCCCCTGACTTTTATCCCCAGAGCTAGGGTGGAACTTCGCTAGCAGTGGTGGCTCTTCCGTCCCAAGGATCAGCCCATAGATTTCCACTGCTCTCTTCTCCTCTGCCTTCTGCACACCAGGCACTGAACCCAGTTGTTCCTCTTCTTCCTCACCAGCCATCTCCAGACCTGGGGGCTGTTGACTCTCCATCTGAGGGCTGATGGACGACTCAGGCTCCGCCTCGGTCTTTATCTCTGATAGCTCCATTCCTTCTTCCCACTAGCTCTCAGGTTGCTTTGATGCTGGCCCTGACTCCCATGCCACCTCCTCATCTGATTTGGCTGCCGGAGGGGCCAGTGGCCGACAGGCCACAAGAATATTACTTTCATGTGCATATGCAGTTCTTGTAAAACAAGGATAACTTTAAGGAATGGATGCCTAAACATGCTTCTTTCCAACCACATTGTTTTTCCTCTGTCACGACTTCTGAATTATAAGCAGGGCTCTAGCATAATCCTGAGCTTTAAATTGCTTTGAGAGACCACCAAGCTATAGAGCAGAATCAAAATGCTTTCAATAAAATAATAGTTAATTGTGATCCTCTCATGAGTCATCCAAGTATCTGAGGCAGATAGTTGGAAATATTTACATGATATTTACTGAGGAATTTAAATGAAAGAACAATGGGTAATTGAATATGTATTGGAAGACAAAGTGATGTTTACGGGTAAAGAAAATTAAGAAACATGAAAATAGTTGAAAGGAATACAATTTGTACATATTGTACTTCTTGGCATATCTTTGTGGTCTCAGAGAAAGGCTGAAAACTTTTTAATCAAGAACCTGTCCTTCCAATGTCTCAGAATAACATCAGATTTGTGCATAACAGGGGCCTGGTGCCATTCTCCATATTGAGGTCACCTGCAAGGGCACGTCTAAGGCTTTCTGGTGTCGATGGGGGTGGTGTGGTTCTTCATCAAGACTTACTCTGTGAACACGGGCCTTGAGACTGAGACCTGCACCAGGTTCCCATTTCCACAACTTCACTCTCATGTCTGTTATCCAGGAAGAGCTCGGTTTCAAATGCTTGGATTTCCTTAATTCTCTGAGGCTCAAAGCAATGGAGACATTTCTCCCTCCTCATTCCTCACCCCACCCAATCATTACAAAGGTGCATTTTTCTCTCAAACCAATCTCCCAATTGCCAAGTTGTGTGTGGAATATTGGCCTTTCAGGCTTAGTGGGTTGCATAGAAAAAAAAAGGAAATGGATGGGAAGGTTCGGCTAAAGGTCATATCCTTGAAGGCGCATGTCCTCCGGCACTGAATAAAAACAAAACCCCAACGTTATCTTCATCTGTGGTCTTTACTTCCTATGTCTGAGTGACTGTGCCTTGATGCAGCTTTCTATGCTGCAGTAGCACTGAAGAAGCCAAGTCTCAGTTGCTGGAATTGGAAGATGTTTTATTTCCCCTCAGCAAGCCAAATTTTTGTTGCTTGCTTTCCAGGACCCATCCTTCTGCTCTTTTGTGGTCCAGTTTATCCAAATACAACTTACAGGCCAGGGTAATCTCCAAATGAACTTGCCTAATTTTGTGACTCTGCAGTGTTAAGGTATTTACTGAGCTGGGTCAAATCTAAATAAAAATACTCAGACTGAAGTTGTATAGAAAAATAAGGGTTGGCGGCCTCAGCAGGAATTCTTTATAATGAAGAAATTATTAGCACAATCAGGGCTTTAGTGTATTGCAAAGAAGAAAGGTGCATGCAAAAAAGGGATCTCATAGAAGTAGTTGGTTTCCAGCAAGGATTCACTGAAAGGAAAATCCTCAGGGAAAAAGAGTTTAGATCTTTCGATATTCTGGGAAGGCAAAAAGTCTGATCAGCCAGCTAATCTCTGGGAAATACTTGCCTGGTTGCCTGTTAAAAAATTGGAGAGGGAGATTTAAAATCTTGGAAACTAATCAAGACAGTATGTTTACTTCCTATGGGACTCAATTTCTTCCAAAGCTCTCAGTAGAGACTGGAGATGTTCTGGAAACATTAACAGGAGCAGTGGGAATTGCTGATGGATGATGTCTTTATCTTCCAACACAAACTTTGTGCAGCCTGCAGTTTTTAACAATTGTCAACCTAACAGGTGTATCTCTGTCTCTCTCTGTCTCTCTCTCTCTCAAATTTATAAAGAGGAGCATGTCTTGAAAAATGTATAGCTGTAATAAAGGTTGAAAGGAAAATAAAAACTAATGATAAAATAAGTCCTTTCCTAGTGAGTATTCATCAGAGAGGAGAATTACTACACACGTAAGAGTGATTGTAGCCAGGTCTAAATTAAATTACTTTTTGCATACTGCTTTGTATAGCAATTCTTTATTCAATACTGATTTGATTACATATTATGTTTTCATTTGAACTTCTCAGTAAAGTTAATTTATACTTCTTTGGTTGTCTGTCAGATTCATGAGTTTTCCAATAAGCTCCTCATGGAGGGACTGAGATTAGTTTTGGATCTTTTCCAAGATACAATTCACAGAAAACTTTTGGTTCAACATTATAAATTGTTGTAATGTGAGCTACATCCCACTCAACTGTTCTTCTAGAATAAACTGTACTCATTGAGAAGGAGGAGGAAAGGGAGGAGGAAGATGGAAGTAACAGGCGTTTGGAGCAAGTTTTATTTGCCTAATAATATATATATATGGATCTTTGGTTATTCGGGTTTTCTCCCACATAAAATTGGAAGTATCTAGGCGATGTTTCGATGACACTTCATCGAAAGAGACTTCATAGAAACGTTGCGTAGATACTTCCAATTTTACGTGGGAGAAAACCCGAATAACCAAAGATCCACATACAAACACCCGTGAAAACCTCAGAAAACACACACACACACACACACACATATATACACACACACACATATACCATACATGTATGGTATCTGGCTTTGTTCGGGTATTTTCCCACGTCATTATAGTTGTGCTTTTAAAGTTGTAGCAATGTTTCGGCAGAATCTCATCTGCCATCATCAGGCTTCTGTATTGTGTTCGTCTGTGAGTCAGACTTTTACAGTTGTTTCAATTTTAAATTTGGGGCTAGCCTACTGCTGTGCCAGAATGGTTTTTCCTTCATCCTGATTGGTTGGGAGTCTTGGTCTGTGTTTATTGGTCTTGGAGTTTGCTGTGTTCTGCTTGATTGGCGTTTCTAATATCTTCTGTTTGTTTTGTGGCTTTTTTTGTGTCTTGATTGGCTGGCAACATTGTGTTCCTGTATTGGAGGCTTTTAGTGCAGCTTGACTCCGAGTAAATGGACGGCTATCATTTGTTAGGAAGCTAGGTTTCATCTGGGTGCCTGGTTGGGGTGTGTTTGAGCTGGAGGTATCAGGGGGGATCTGTTTGTGCCCAGGTGCTTGCCTGGCTAATGGTGTGGAGATTTTGTTTGTTTGTGAGTGCAGGCTTCCAAATAATTGACAGTCTGGTGGAATCATCTCTTCTATTCATGCTTTCAGGTCTTTTTTCAATCTCTATGGCTTCTCTGATAATTCTGTGGCTGGGGTTTTCTATAGTGGCTAGGGTTTTGGTGCCATTGAAGTTGATGCTATGACCTGTGGCTTTCATGTGTTGGACTAGTGAGGAAGTGTGTTCCAGCTTTTTTACTGCATTTTTGTGTTCATCCAGGTGGGTACTTATTCTTCTATTGGTCTGTCCAATGTATGTGGCTGGGCATGATGCACAGCGGACTTCGTATATGCCTTGGTTTTTCAGGTCAATTTTATCTTTGGGGTTTCTAAGGATGGCTGCTATTTTTCTGTCTGTTTTGAAGGCAGTCTTGATGTGATGCCTGTGTAGTATCTTACTGATTTTGTCTGTAGTACCTCTTATGTAGGGCAGGACAGCTGTTCCATAGGTCTGTTCATCTTCTAGGTCTCCATTATGTCTCAGTGTGTTTTTGTGGATCAAGCCGGTGATTTTGCTTTTGTGGAAGCCGTTCACTGTCAGTACTTTAGTCAGTGTTCATAGTTCAGTCTTTATGTGTGTCTTGTCTACCAGGCGTTTGGTTCTAGCAATTAGTGTTTTGGCCACAGAGTTTATCTGTGCTGGGTGGTGGTGGGATTGGCCATTGAGGTAGCAGTTGGCGTGTGTTTTCTTCTGGTATATGATGTGTCCTAGTGTGCCATCTGTTTTTTTGTAGATTAGTACATCTAGGAATGGTAGTTGTTTGTTTCCGTTTCCATGGTGAACTTGATTTTGGGGTGTGTGCTGTTTAGGTGTGTTAGGAAATTGTTTAGGTTTTCTTTTCCCTGGGGCCAAATCACAAATGTGTCATCGATGTATCTTAACCATAGTTTGGGTTTGTGGGTGGCATTAGCCAGGGCTCTGGATTCGAATTCTTCCATGAACAGGTTTGCAATGATGGGTGACAGTGGTGATCCCATAGGGGCTCCTTCAGTTTGCTTGTATCTTTGTCCTTTGTATATGAAATATGTGTTGGTTAAGCAGTGTTCTGTTAGTTCCATGAGGTGTTTAGCTGGTTGGTGTTTATTTTTGATGATTTCAAGAGTTTCTTTTATCGGGACTTGAGTGAATGGTGGAACCACGTTGAAACTTACAAGCAGATCTTCTTGTTCCATGTGTAGATCTTTGATCATTTCCAAGAAGTGGTATGAGTTTTGTACATGTGAAGCTGCTGTTTCAGCATGGGGCTGTAGCTGTTTTGCTAAGTGTTTAGCTAGGTTTTGTAGTGTGCTCCTCTGGAGCTGACTATGGGTCTGAGAGGTATGCCTTCTTTGTGTATTTTTGGGAGGCTGTATAGTTTGGGGCATCTGGAAGATTTTTCTCTTGGGATGATTGTCTGTTGGATCTCTTTGCTCATGTAGCTGGTTATAATTTTCATCCATTTACTCAGAGCCAAGCTGCACTAAAAGCCTCCAATACAGGAACACAATGTTGCCAGCCAATCAAGACACAAAAAAAGCCACAAAACAAACAGAAGATATTAGAAACACCAATCAAGCAGAACACAGCAAATTCCAAGACCAATAAACACAGACCAAGACTCCCAACCAATCAGGATGAAGAAAAAACCATTCTGGCACAGCAGTAGGCTAGCCCCAAATTTAAAACTGAAACAACTATAAAAGTCTGACTCACAGACGAACACAATACAGAAGCCTAATGATGGCAGATGAGATTCTGCCGAAACATTGCTACAACTTTAAAAGCATAACTGTAATGACATGGGAAATACCCAAACAAAGCTGAATACCATACATATATACATACATACATATATATGTTTTCTGAGGTCCACATACAAAGATCCACATACATACATACATACATACATACATACATATGAGCATCCAGTTGGCAACCAGAAATACCAATCAATCTGAATGGGGGCTACAATACCTTGGAGGAAGCATGATTCACAGTGAGTTCACTGTTAGGATTCTGTTCTGAAATCTGAGAATTAGAAGGATACTTCATTCATGAATATGTACAAAGAATGTTATACGAATGCATTAAAGTCAGTGGTGCAAAGTCAGATTCTCAGATCAGATGTGGCGTGGAAATTGTAGTTCAGCAGTAAGTGGAAACCACAGATTATTCCAATTTTTGCTTTATATTTATAATGTTGGAGTATCTTTTAACAATGGAGGGAAGGTCCATTGGTAGCTTTTTTGCTAAAGAACAAACGAACCTCACCTTGAGCAAATCTGTTTGATTCACTCAGCCATCAGAGACCACAGATTTTTTGCCCATTCACAGTGTAAATCTCTTCAGCTCCCAAGGTACATATCTCTCCAGTGCCAGAAGCTCAGCGCTTCCAGAGTATCCTGGCTGGAATGCCACTCCTTCTAGAGTGCCACGTCTCTACATCTGATGCCTCTGTCCAGTGGCTCAAGGATGGAGATCCTGTGCTGATGGATGAAAATAGTCTCATTGTCAAATCAGAAGGCTGCCTTAGGAGTCTCTTGATTAATTCAGCCTGCCCCTTGGACTCAGGAACCTACACATGTTGCACAGCTGACGAGACAGTTGACTTCATTGTAACTGTGGAAGGTGAGTGGAGACAAAGAAATGAAATAATGTGCATGAATAAACTGATAGCCTTGATAGGTTACTCCCAAGTGAAGAGGATTACTGCTGCATCTTGGATCACCAACCTAGGTCCTGGACTAAGTTTTTCTCCTTAGTCTTGGTCTTGTGTCTGCCTGTTCTGTTGTTCCACTACCCTCTCATCATTATCTGGCAATTGATCCCTAAAGACTATTTCTGTTAATTAACAGACTGCATTATACCAAACTCTGTCAAGCAATCATCAGAATCTCTGTTTCTCATTTTTTTACTTGGCATATGAGATGCAGAGAGATTGATTTGCCCTCTCCTTGTTGTATCAGAATTAGTTAATTTCTTTGCATGGTAACACTTCCTCCAAAACTCCACTAACCTAGTTCATTTGAGAAATGTGATATTCTATGCTATCATGGATTTTCCTTTTGCAGAGGTGCCTGTTCGTGTTGTTCAGTCCAGTGCAGATGCTAGTCACATCTACCAGGCTTCAGAGCGTGTGGTGTTATCTTGTGAGCTGTCTTGCCCAGATGTTGCAGTTTGCTGGTATAAAGATGGGAAGGAGGTGGTGGAAAACAATGGTTTCTTGCTGGAAAATGAGGGATTCCATCATCGTCTGATCATCCCTGCTGCCCAGAAACATGATACAGGACAGTATATGTGTGATGCCGCTGGAAATTCCATATTATTCAATGTCACCATCACTGGTGAGGAATTTTCTGGGAATTTACCCTACTACATATATTTTGCATTCAAATAAATGGCACTAACTCTTTTTGACTTTGCAGATCTGGGCCGTTTCCTCTTTATACTTCCAGGAGGTGCTCATATCTTGAGAGGAAGCCAGATCTGAAAAAATTGATCCCAGAATTTTGGGGTGGTTCTTTTGTTTTCCAGCATAATGTTAATTGGAGTTCCTTCAAATAGGAAATGGGAAAGGACAGTCCTATGCTTAAGTGTGGATCTTGTTGGCAGAGTTTGGATTGAAATTGGAAGGAAGGAAATGCCAGAATCGTCATTATACACTATGACAGAGGTGGTATTCAACTGGTTCATACCTACTCGGGCGAACCGGTCGTGGTTATTTGGCATGGATCACCGAACTGGTGGCGATCCCTGGCTGGCCATGCCCCCAACCCGGTTGCTCAGTCGCTCACTTGCGATCACTCTTCTAGCTTTCCACTCCCCATGTCCTCTTTCTCCCCGGGGGAAAGGAAGAAAGGCATGGATACTGCAAGTATCGCTTTCCCTTTGTGAGTTAAAGCGCTGGAGTGAGAAAGAGTGCGGTCTGACCGGGGAGGGGGGTGGGGAGTCCACTCCAGGCTTGGAGAAATTTAAAGGAGCTGCTTCCAAAATGCTTGTCTGTTAAGTGCTCTGTGTGTGTGTGTGTGTCTGTGTGTGTGTGTGTGCGTGTGTATGAGAGAGAGACAGAGAGAGAGAGAGAAAGAGAAAGAGAAAGAGAGAGAGAGAGAGAGAAAGAAAAGAAAGAAAGAAAGAAAGAAAGAAAGAAAGAAAGAAAGAAAGAAA